AGCTCAAACTCGACTCGTTATAAGTTCACGAACAGTTCGGTTCGACTCGTTAGGTTCATCTCATTAGGTTCAGCTCACATGGTTCACGAACTTAAAAACTATTTTTTTAAATATATATATATATATATATATATATATATATATATATATATATATATATATATATATATATATATATATATATATATATATATATATATATATATATATATATATATATATATATATATATATATATATATATATATATATATATATATTTTAGTATATTTGACATTTTAAATAAATATATATATTTTAAATAAAATATTAAAATAAAATAAAAGTTATCATATTGAAATTTAACTTTATCTTTGAAATCTACTAATTCAAAACCTACACAACTTTCAAGAGATACATTTGAGAGTCTAATTCAAAAACTACTAAATTGAAGATTAAATTTGTCTAAGATTTGAAGTAAATATTTAAACCTAATCTTAAAGACAATATAATTCTTTTCATATGTAATCGAGTTGACTCATGAACCTAACGAGTCGAACTATGTATAGTTCAAGTTCAGCTCATTTAGTTAACGAACTTAATTTTTCGCTCATACTCAACTCATTTGGTTCATGAACCTAGTTCAACGATTTAATTGTCAAGTCGAATTCCGAACTATCTTCGAGTTGGTTTGGTTCATTGCCAGCCCTATTTGAATGGCAAGAAACATACATGAATATCATTGACCAATGATGAACATATAGTTGAGTTGAACGAAAAACTCTAGCATGTCATCAATGAACCAAGACGTGAAAGTAGCTAATCCATATCGAACATTCTAATCTCATGAAACCCCTCGTATATATGGAAGTCAAGCTCTTCCAATAAAAGATTAACGTTGGTACCTTCTGGTTGGTTGTGAAGAATTTGAGGGGGTATCATAAGATTCTATAAACTAAATCACGGTAATTAAAAAATTTTATATACATACTAATTTTATTAAAAAAACTTATTTTTAATGGGCAGGTAGAATATTTAGTATTCATTTTTAACTCGTAGTTTGAAAAAAAAATCTTTATATTTGACTTTATGTCCGTATATACATTAACGTTTATATCTGTATTCGTATTTTAGAGTTATCTAAATATTTATACGTATACTCTTTTCTCTGTTTTCTAAAAAAAATTATATTGATAATTTATTATGTTATTTTATATTTTTAACAAAAATTAAAAAAATAAATAAAAATATTATTGTTAAGTTAAAAAATAAACAAACACTTATTAAATTAAAATATATATAAATTTAATAATAATTTATTTAATAAAATTGATAAGCATATACATGTATATAATAATAAAAATAAAAATATATAAATATATAGGATTTTGTGGATATTCGTACTCGCGCTCATATTCCTATGTTTTATGGATAATTACTCGTGCTCATCAAGGCCGACCCAAATCTAAAGCGAGTGAGACCATCGCCTTAGATCTCAATGTTTAGACATTTAAGATAGGTTTCAAATATTGATAAATGAGGCATCTAAATTTATATATTTAATCAACGTTTCATAAATAATAAATCAAAAAATAGTAGTTGAGTGTTTTTTTTTTTAAAATTAAAACAAATTCTAAAATTATTTTTAAAAAAGATTAAAATAATTGACACATATTGAAAAAATTATAAAGTTGGTTAAAATTTTAATTAAATATTATAAACTAATTTTGCCTCAGGTTTCAAAATGTATTGGACCGGCTCTGATGTTCATATCAATATCTATTTTGTGAATTTTTATCCTATTTGTTGTGTATAATTTTTGCCGATTCCAACTGGTATAGAATATAATGAATACTAAATTATTCGAATCTATATATATACCTGTTTATTTTAATAGATAATTTTCTATGTTCATAGCGTATTTATTTTGAAGATTTTTATCTTATTTATTGTAATAATTTTTACAAATTCCCATGAATTCAAATATCACCTCTAAGTGGTGCTGCTTGTTTCTTGCTTATCATTCATTATTTTTTAAAGAATTTTTAACGGGTTAATAATCAATATTTTGAAATTATTATTTATTATTAATTGTATAAAAATATATAAATTAATTAGATGTATGTTAGTAAAGCTTAATTAACACAATTTAAAATTTAAATAATATCTTAAGAAAAGAAAATTTCAAAAGAAGCTTATAATGTATATAAAGACAAGGGGAGTAACTTGTGTAGCATGCAATGTATATCAACTGTTATTCTGTGTATATACATATATTAAGAAACTATGGTTGGATTTAACGTATATATTATAATTGTATTTTAATATTTTAGTTAATTAAAAGAGAAAAAAAAATATATATATATATATATATATATATATATATATATATATATATATATATATATATATATATATATATATATATATATATATATATATATATATATATATATATATATATATATATATATATATATATATATATATATATATATATATATATATATATATATATATATATATATATATATTTGAAAAGTATCGGTTACTGGGAGGAGTAATTATTTCAATACATTGTTCAAAATCTATGTGCTTAGATAGAGTTAATCTTTGAACGAGTTAAATGTGCTTATAATTAAGATTATCATTAAAAATAGTGATAACTAAATATTATTTAGTAATGTAACATCTAAAATCTCAAATTTTATTATTAATAACGTTTAATATTTTTTATAAAAAAAAATATAAAATATTTTTCCATAGTATTTACAGACAATAAAATAATAACTAAGATTATTTGGATTAAATGAGGTAACTAGTGATTTTTCATAGTATTTACAAACAATAAATATATTAGATTAATTAGATAAGATTAATTTTTGGATTGTAAATTTTGTATATATATTTTGCCATTCAAAAGAAAATATGAAATTGTAAAAGCTTATGCTCTGTTTGGCGAGATACATTTTTTAGTTTATAATTTATAAGACCATATGACAATTTAAATTTGTTTGATAACAGTTTTTTTTTATCACGAATTTATATTTTATTTTATTAACTTATAATTTATTACATACGTTATTTAAATAGCATTTTAACTTATATTATATCTTATCATTTTTCCTTCCACTGTTATCATTATTATTTTAATAAAAAACCATTTTTATCTTTTATAATTTATCGTAATTCAAAATAAATTATATATTAAATATTTTTTATGTCATTTTACATTTATAAGTTAGTTTAACCAAATCCTTCAATTAATTTATTAATTATTAATTATTAACCATCAACTATAAACTATAAACTATCAATTATCGGTCATTAATTCTAAGATATCAACTAATTTATCAATAAACCACTATTTTTAATAAACAAAACCTTAATCCATATTAAAAAATGATAAGAGAATATTAGATTTATAAAAAATGATATTAAAATATTTTTTTATAACATTAACTTGTTTAAATATAAGAATTTACATACAGTTTTTTATCAAGAAAAAATGAATGTTAAAATAATAATTTTAGAAAATAGAGGCTATGTTAGTATTAATTTTTTAGTGAGATTTTTTATTTAAAAGATTAATCTCTTGCAAGTAGAAAATACTTAATTTATATTAAATATCTATATATATATATATATATATATATATATATATATATATATATATATATATATATATATATATATATATATATATATATATATATATATATATATATATATATATATATATATATATTTGATTTTTTAACGTCAGAGATTTATGAATGTTAATATTATGTTTTATAGAATAACGAATATAATTTTTAAGATAATTTATTTTATTATTTAAAAATGGTAATGATACAATAGATTATTTGTTTGTCGTCTATTTTTGTATAACAACACAGAAGTAGTTTTTGGTTTGTCTCTTATTTTTGTATCAAATTTATTATATACTAGCGTCCAGACAGGCACACGGGCACTTGTGTGCCCGTCTGTCTGTTTTTTAAATGCGCATGAATGAAAATATAAACGATATTTTTTGTTTAAATAAATTTTTTAAAAAATACAATATGTAAAAGTTAATAATAAGAAGTTACATGGAAGTTAATAATGAGAAGTTATTAAGTAAATTACATAATAAAATAAGGGTAAAAATGGTAGAAAAATAAGCCACACCAAAAACTTGTATCCCCTTTATATATAGTTATAGATTTTAAATATAAATTAAAAATATTATAAAAAGACAAAATAAAATATGCAAAGACAATGTAAATTTTACACTCTCAATTAACAATCACCATCTATTCTGTTACGCTAAATTATAAATTTTAAATTAACGATATGATATAAGATGAATTTCAATTAAATAATTATATAAAATTATTTTACACAACCAATATATATCAATTAAATTCTTATAAAAAAATTTCATATTATAATATATATATAAAATTGTAACTTATAAAAAAATAAAATAAATAAGAAGCCCTCGAGTCAATCCAAACCTCTCACGTAACCCACATTTCTTCGTCAAAACAACCAGTAGAACACTTTACAGATTACTATTCCACCACCGTTTTTCCAATCAAACAATACTTCACATTTCTTTGAAACCTCCACCCCTTCTTTATTTACTCAAACAATTACATCATCACTTTCCATTCATCAGACACTACACATAAATTTGGATCACAATTAAGCACTTTTCTTCTGAGTATACTATAATCATATTCACCATTGTAAGTAAAAAGTTACAAACCTTGTTTTATTTTCTTTCAATTTCTATCATCATTGTGAGTGTTTAATACATATATTAATTATTGACTCTTCACTCCCATTATATGCTTATGCACACTAGATTAGATTTCTAGCATTGATTTTAATTAATTATACTGTTTTCTCTTTGCTAATAATTTTCTCTTTCATTTGTTATCTTTCTACCTTCCATTTCCATTTGAATACTTCTGATCTTTATCAGTCTTTCATAGTTTCTGGATCTCGATCTCGACATCTTAGATCGACCGGCAATGTCTTCCTCCAACAAACACTGGCCTAGTTTGTTCAAGAAATCCAAACCGGACAACCATCAGAATTGGCAGCATGGCATGAACTCCACTCTCTTGTCCTCCGCTGGATTCCAAACTACTCCGGTTACTTTAGGTAATTTATTTAAGACTCTAAATTGTTATGAATCTTTTAGTGTATCTTTTATCATCATTATTTTTATTCTTAAAATAAACTGAAACGTAAATTCATGTTTAACTGGTTATGATATCAAACCAAATTCTTCATGTGAGTCTAACAGGATCAAATCAAATTCATTCAACTTCTATTGGTTACGGTATCAAATTAACGGAGGTGTTTGTGGTACTCTTTGATCTAAAGATAAAATTGTATGCAGTTTAATTCAATTTTAAATGATGAATTAAGCAATTATATTATCTTATTTGTTTAATTTAGATTGGTTTTTGATATCTAAATTATAAAATTATAATATTTTTACTAATAATATATTTGATGTGAAATATAACATGAATATTAAAAAATAATATTTTAGAATTACAAAAATTAATTCAATCGATTTCTTAGATTAGTTTCAAATTATGGATTATTTAGATGATTAATCTAGATTGTTGCCTGTTTTGTCTTTTGGTTAACGTTTTTCTCCATTATTTAGGGCTTTTTTCCTTAACTTTTGAGAGTTTTGAGTTACTCTTATACTTGTTTTTTTGTTGTTATCTTTGTACTTTAGTTGAATTTGAGTATCTCTTCATCTTATCAGATATTTTATTTTTTAATAAAAATTTGATTCAATAATTATCGATTTCAAATTGTTTTTTAATTTTTTTCTTAAAATATTAAATTTGAATATCTTCACATCATTCAAAATTAACCACTCTACCTCTATTCATTAGTATATCAATTCCACATCATTCAAACTTATCAGGTTTATAAAAAAATGTGTATCTAAAACATACAATGTCTCAATTTAATACTAGTAATTTCTCTTGAAAGATGAAAATTCAAATAAGAAACAAATTAATAATAGTCAAGCTTAAAATGTAAACTTTGATTCTATAAATTTGAAAGTTGATGTGTTTAGGTGCAGAAGTTGATGACAGAAATCCAGAACCGAAGCCAAGATGGAATCCAAAACCTGAACAAATTCGCATTTTGGAATCCATCTTCAACTCCGGAATGGTGAACCCTCCAAGGGAAGAGATCAAGAAGATACGAGAACAGTTACAAGAGTTTGGCCAAGTTGGTGATGCAAATGTCTTCTACTGGTTCCAAAACCGCAAGTCTCGAAGCAAGAACAAGCATAGACAGCTCCACAGCAATCCAAGAAACAAAAGGAATTCTGCTGCTTCTGCCGCTGCTCAAAGCAGCACTGCACCACCTAACTCATCCTCGTCATCTTCCTCTGATCAACCAAACGTCTCGACCAATTCGACCAACGAAGCGATAATGGTTAACAATGTTGGCTTCTCCAATGAGGGGATGGGGGTGCTGCCTAATTCCCCCACTGTGAACCAAAACCAGGCTGTTGCTTATAATTTTCTTCAACCAACACCTGCTGAGACTAATTTTCAACTACCTACACCCCCACCATCACAATTTTACTCTTTCCCTGTGGAGAATAATAACAATATCAATGAAAGAGTAGCACAAGGGCTTTACTTATCTGATCAATATTCTAATATGGTTCAGCCTTTACCTCAACAAAATGTTGCTCTTCCTTTGTTTAATCATGAGATCATGATGAACTATGGAATTGGAAATTCCTCTATGAATAACCAGCATGATCAAGAGGAAGCAATGAATTTGATGCAGATGAACCAACAAGACCCACATCAACTTGGTTTTGGTTTCACTTCAAGGACTCATGATGATTCATCTCTTGTTCCTTTTCCTCCTGTTGCCATTAATCCACATCTTACTGCTCCATACCCCATCCCTCAATTTCAAGGTAACCAATATCAATATTTTAGGGTTTTATAAGTTCCACTTTCAAAAAAAATATGAGTTTTAAGTTATTAGAAGAAGGATTAGAAACACAATATCGAAATAAATTTAATTACAAGTGTCACTGTATTAGTCGCCCACTCTACCAGTGATACTAACACGTCTTTTTTAGAGGTGTTAGTGTTACTGAGTTTTTAAGACCATAAAAAAAAATCAGTTATTTTCTATGAACTTGTGGTTTTGCATGGCTTCATTATTCAATTGAAGTATGTATTTTCTAGTTGCATTCCACACATGAAAGATCTAAATTGGGGTGTGTGTTTTTGTCAGGTGTTGGTGAGGAAGATGATAAGCCAAAATGTAGGGTGTTAATTAACAGCACTGTATTCGAAGTTGAAGTGGGACCCTTCAATGTTCGTGCAAATTTTGGAGATGGTGCCGTTCTGTTTGACTCCTCCGGCCAACGAGTTCTCACCGACGAATGGGGCGTCACCCTCCACTCACTCCAACATGGTGCTTCTTATTACATGGTCTGTGTTTTTTTTTCCTTATAACCTAAGCTTTCTTAATTAATTATTTTTCCTATTTTTTATTTGAAATATTTGATCAGCATTAATTGAAATGATTTAAAATATCATATCTAAATTAAATAAATATATTATTCACACATTTTTTATAAGCAGAGATTTCATTTTAATGCTATTAATTATTTTTTTTCAATTTTCTTTAGCAGGTTTAAGGAGGTGAAGCTGAACCAGCTAGGTGTGCGAGTTTCAGATTAATACTATATGGTGTCTTAATTCTATTGTCATTCTATGTTTTTTTCTTTTTTTTCTGTTTGTGTCTCTCTATATATATACTTGTTCATTTATATATATACTAGGGTTTAGGTATAGGATTACTGAAATGACAATGAGGACCTAGTCATGGAAATGGGTCTAAGTCGTTGAAAGTATGAAAATCTCATGGTGGACCTGGATATATATGTATTTTTCTATTATAGGCACAACAGAGCCATTATAGTATGGTTCTGGTTCATAATGTTGACTATATAAGAGTTTATATGTTGTGTTTTATATGGGTAAGTATGCAGTGATATTGAATTTTTGTTATAAATATTTGGATTAAGCCTCTTCAAGGTCACGCTTTAAACCATTTTCTGTTGGGGATTGTTTTTCTTTACACAACGACATTAAAAGTATTATATTTATGCAGTTTTCAACTTTTATATTATTATTTTTCTTTTAAATTGATCTTTTTATTGCCCAATCAGGTACGGCATTCACATTTCATTTACGATGTTTGAATGGAAGGCATGTTTTTCATGCGGATTATTAAAATTATATTTCCATTTCATCGATCCCTAAACGAGTGACGTGTTTGCAAAAAGAATTATTTTAAAAACTTTACATTTAATTTTTAATAAAAGATTAACAATATTTTTCCAAATTGCTTTCGAATCTAATTCATATTATGTATATTACTATCAAAATTAATAATTTAAAGAAAGAGTTGTTGGTTTGGAATTTAGACAATTGGTTTGGGAGGAAGTGGTATTTAGTAGTATGGTGTTTTTCTTTTATATATATATATATATATATATATATATATATATATATATATATATATATATATATATATATATATATATATATATATATATATATATATATATATATATATATATATATATATATATATATATATATATATATATATATATATATATATATATATATATATATATATATATATATATATATGAGTCACTATAAAAAAGTTAGCTAATTCTTTTTTTCCCTTACAGCTTATGCTGGGAGGTTCAATTTTTTTTTGAAAAGTAAGATGTATGGTGAAAATCATCCTGTAATATTTTTTTAATTTTATTTTTTTTAGAAAATTAACCTAGTTGAATTATTGAGTGTTCAGGTAGTAGGTATTTGTTCAAACGTTACGGCGTGAGAAACACTTCACAATATCTCAACAATTGTAAAATTGCGAAGTGATTTTTATTTAACTAATCTTAACATCTTCAAACGTTGTAGTGTATTTTTCACGCCGCAAGTTACAGTGTATTTTTCACGCCATAACATTATTTGTATATATCCCACCATACTTGCCTTTATCTCATCATATTATTTGACTTCTTTTTCGTAACAGATGTTTTTCTATATTCAAGGTCTCTTCTCTCTTTAACTTTCGTCCGTGGAGGTATTAGTGGTGATCCTCTTATTCAATCGATGGAGGTGATTCTGAAGGCCCCTAGATCTGAGAATCGGTGTCGATGTGTCATTCAGTAATGGATTCAGAGGTTAATCAAGGCAACAAGAGATTTTGGACGAAAATAGATTCTAAGGTTTCGAAGAAAGTCTAGGAGATCATTTCTAACCTTGGAATTATTGGAGATGGTAGCAATTCGGCTTATGAGGATGAGATTACAAAGATGGAGCTCAGAGATAAAGAAAGGAAGTTCAATAGGGAGGTTGACAAATTTATTGCTCAATGAATATCTTATCTATTAATATCAGAGGGGAGGTAACTCAGTCAAGAGGAAGAGAATCACTCACTTGATTCAAGCGAGTAAGGTGGATATTTGTTTTTTGCAAGAGTCTAAGCTTTCTTCCTTGGATCTTAACGTTGCTACGTCCTTGTAGGGTGATGTCAATGTTGAATGGACTGAATCTGGGGCGGTTGGGTCTGTGAAGAGCATCATCATTCTATGGAGGGAGGATCTCTTAAAGCTTTCCTTTAGATTTATGGGAGAAGAGTTTGTGGGGATTAAGGTTCATGAAAGGAATTATCCTACGCATGACTTAGTGTTGCCCGTCGTGGTGTTCGTGTTGAAAGTTTGGAGACATTATCTTTTTGGGTCCAGGTTCGAAGTGTTCAGTGATCACAAGAGCCTGAAGTATTTGTTTGATCAGAAAGAGTTGAATATAAGGTAGAGGAGATGGCTTTAACTTCTGAAGGATTATGATTTTGAATTGAGTTACCACCCTGGTAAGGCTAATGTTGTAGCTGATGCATTAAGTAGGAAGTCCTTGCATATGTCGATGCTTATGGTTCGAGAGTTAGGACTGATTGAAAAATTCAGAGATATGATTATAGTGTGTGAAGAGACTCCTAACAGTGTGAAGATGCTAAGTTGACTAGTGGTATTCTCCAAGAAATCAGAGAAGGTCAAAAATTTAATTTGAGTTTGGTGGATAGTCTCACGTTAATCAACCAAGCTAACAGGGATGATTGTTGGGTCGATGATAATGGTGTGATGAGGTTCAGAGATAGGGTGTGTGTTTCAGATGTGCCAGAAATTAAGAAGACCATTCTTGAGGAGGGTCACATAAGTGGGTTAAGTATTCATCTGGGTGCCACAAAAATGTATCAATATTTGAAGAAATTGTTTTGATGGCCAGGGATGAAGAAAGAAATTGCAGAGTTTGTGTATGCTTGTTTGACTTGTCAGAAGTCGAAGATTGAACATTAAAGACCGCTGGGTCTGATGCAACCATTGGATATTCCAGAATGGAAATGGGATAGCATTTCTATGGATTTTATGACAGGTCTACCGAGGACTTTGAAGGGATATGATTCAATTTGGATAATTGTTTATAGATTGACCAAATTGGCTCATTTTATATCAATGAGGATCAATTATTTGTTACAGAAGTTGGCCGAATTATATATTGATGAGATTGTGAAATTGTGTGGTATTCTTTCAAGTATTGTGTCTGACAGAGATCTGAGATTCACATCGAGGTTCTGGGAGAGTTTGCAGACAACTTTGGGTACTAAGTTGAGGTTGAGTTCTACCTATCATCCACAGACAAATGGACAGATAGAGAGAACTATCCAGTCTTTAGAGGATTTGTTGAGAGCTTGTGTATTGGATCAAGGTGGTTCATGGGATAATCATTTGTTGTTGATTGAGTTTACCTACAACAACAGTTACCATTCTAGTATCGGAATGGCACCGTATGAGGCATTGTATGGTAGGAGATGTAGGACTTCTTTGTGTTGGTATGAGTCAGACGAGAGTATTATGCTCGTGTTGTACCCCAAATTTTGAATCCTAGATTCCATCATCATTTTAGGAGCATCATCATTGTTTATCTAACTTTAACCTATTTCAAGTTTGTCCTTGTCAAGATGCAGATGAATTAAGGTTCCATACAGTCAGGAATCAGGGCTTCCTATGGTTTGATCACTCAAGGTCTTGGATTGATTCTCCATTAAGAAACTCATTATGTCATCAAGAATACTATATTGGATCAAGTATGAATCCAATTTGAGGTTGTCACCCAAGGAAAAGAGCAGTGCAGTCCAGGACCCCCGATTAGGGTTTCTAATCAGGAAAAGTCAACGGTGGCTTAACTTTTGATTTAAATGGTATTCCAATGGTGGAATCATGGTCCATGAAGCTTATATTACTTATTGAATCCCCCTCAAGAATTTTCAAGACCTCAGGGAACCCAGAACACTAACAGTCGATTCGGAGGTTTTCGATCGTTCGGTTCGTCTGACTGAAAAGTCAACTCATTGACCAACAGGGTTTTGACCCAAAATTTAAGACAATTATGTTCCAAATGTTATATCATATATAATCATGAATTTTAGTGGCCACTGGATCAAGAATTAAGGAGTAATAAAAAGTCGGGAAATTAGGGTTTTGAAAAGGGCAATACTATAACTTCCTAACCACGTATCCAAATGGAGTGGTTCAATGCTTGTTAGAAAGGTCTTGAGAAGTCCTACAAAAGTGAAAGTGACCTATGTGAAAAAAATGGATATATTTGGAGTTATGATCAAAAATAAGTCAAGAGGGAAAACACTTAGTGAAATTTTTTGATTTTGACACTTTTAAGTCATGTTTTCACCCAACTTCAAAAGGATTTTTGACCTAGTTCCACTTGGAATTTGAAAGCAATTAAAATATGAAAGTTGTAGAGCATGATGAGGGCTTTCCAAAAAGTACAATAACTCTTCCATAGCATTTGTGAGTTAGGATTTTCAAAGGAGAGAAGTTGGCGTCCAAGAGCTTGAGATGAACAACTTCAACTTGACATGAACTAACACACCAACCATTCAATTGGTTCTCAACCATTTGTTTAACCATTTATCTGATGTCTAGGAGTGTGATGAGTGAAAATTTCAGAAGAATATATGAGCAAAGCATAAGTGTTGGTTAAGATCATATTTAAATTCAAGAAAGTACAAAAAGGACAAGAGGAAAGAGAAACTTTTAGAGTGAAATTTGTTGCATCACAAGGATTCCTCTCTTGCCATCCCTATGGTCACGTCCTACAGCATAATCACAGCTGGTTTTGAGGCTAATTTGCATTGTAAATCAGCTCAAAGTCTGCAGAAGGAAATCACAAGTTGATTTGTTGAGATTCTCCCTCCAAAAGTAAAAATGCAAGCCATAACTTGAAATATGTCCAAGCCTTTGCCTCCTCTATAAATAGAGTCATCCCTTATGCATAAAACACACAAGAACAAGCATAAAAAAACCATAAGAAACAAGCTATTCAATCTTGCCTTGCCCTTTCTTGTAATT